TGGTCAGGAAAATGGGAAAGAAATGATTTTAAAATAAATGGCAAAGACATATGGTCAAGAGAATATTGGGAAGAATTATATATAGCTTCAGAGAAAATTAAAATATGTTACACATGTGTCAGCACACAAAAAAGACAACACAGGTATCAAAACATAATAATGAGGTTGAGGCACTGACAAGAGACATTGAGGCAATAGAAACAAAGGAAGGATTAAAATTAAAATTAAAAAGAGATAAGGAAGGATGGAGACACACATTGCCACCAATAATATTACAAAGAGATAGGGATGGAAAATGGGAGGTACCTAAAGTAACACCAGATGAAATTTAAAAAGACAGGAAACCAATATCACACAGATAAGGAAATAACAGAAATATTAATAACTCCACATACAATTATGGAAATACATACAAAGCACAAATAGGAACACATGCCTTATATAAATGGTTCACTGAAAGAAATCTTAAAGTTACTTGGCAGGAGAAAAAAAAGAGCATTACAAGGATGCATCACATGTAAATAGATGATATGTAAATACAGGTACACTGCATCAACAGATACATACATACAAGCCTACCACATTTAATTTTACAATACAAACAGACTTTCTAGGACCTTTAAATCACAGCTATCCACAGATACATGCCTCTACCCTGGTAGACATATATACAGATTTAGGGATAAGCTCTGGCTGCCTCTAGCCCTTCAGCTCATACAACAATAAGGACTCTAGAGTCATGGGCAGCTCACTTTGGAGCACCAGTAACAGTAGAAAGTGATCAGGGAACTCACTTTACAGCCACCTCAGTTAAAAAGCTCTGTGATCTATGGGACTTACAATGGAATTACCATCTAGCCTACCATCCTACAGCTGCTGGATATACAGAGAGATTTAATTGATTATTAAAAAGAGAATTACGATTGATAAGAGAAACAAGGAAGTTTTTAACAAGCCCTGGATATAGCTTGCTTTTTGCTAAATCAAAGAGGTTACAAAAACATGGTCCTCATATGATGTTAAACACCCCTGCCCCAGATACAGAAAACAGGGAGGTAACAATAGACACAGCTTAGACTTCCATATAAAGCAGCAACAAAACTGAGGGACAATTCCATCTCATTACAGGACATTGTTGCTCACAGGCACGGAAACATTTCTCGGACTATAGGGGCTAAAGGACAGTTGCAACCTAAGAAAATCCAGGACCTTTCTCCTATGGACATACCTTAAAAATCATTAAAGAAAAATTACATACTAGAAGGGCTTTCTATTACAGATTAGAAAAAAAAACTGATAGATCTTTATGCCCCTGCTTACTTTGTACTTGTCATTATAAGACAAGTCTAATACATGCACACTTACATTATCAATTAGGACACAAAAATGCAGTGCTGATCTCGTTTCCTGCCAATAATGCTGCTGGGCAAATATTACTTATAATTATTAATATTCTCCTGATTCTTTGTCTCGCTGAACTAACCAGATACTTCACCTATTGCCACAATGGAAATTGCCACATTGGTAATAGGACCCAACCACGGTGCAGAAAATTAGCTAATTATACCATCTGCTTAATTAAGACAGCACTAAAAGAATAAGGTTTTTTACATTAGGAGAGAGAGAGAGATGCAACAATCACCAGACTCAACCATACCAGACTTCCCAGAATCTCCTGACAATGATCTAGATTTGACACTTATAACTTGGGAGGACGATCCAAGTATGCAACAATACTTCTCATTAATCTAACCATCAGATGCACAATGGGTACTACATGGTCAGTACAGCACCCTATCTGTGAGAATATGACTAATTCATCTATACCAATTTATATAGCTAACAATCACCCATGCATTACCTGACCTACCACCCACTGACAAAATTAGACTTAGAAAACCTTTACAATTCCTGGTAGGACTAGGCATCATCTCTAACTTAATTATCTCTACAATTCAGGAAGCAGAAATCCAAACTATTAAGCAAGAATTATTTGCATTTAAAAAACATGTAAACCCCTTAAATAATACAGTAGAAAACTTAGGTTCCAAAATTTCCTCAGCATTTAAAGAATTACATTCTGTTGTCCATAGATCATGCATACCAACTGGAATTTAATTATAATATCAACCATAAGGTTCAGGCCCTGCAAAAAAATTTACTTAATCTGAGAAATTTTTATTTGAATGAACAATTAAAAAATAATTGCTACAGAATCAATAACCTTCTTGAGAGAGCATGGAATGATATTAGAAACATTACAGCAACAGGAAAAATGTATTCTTCTGACTGGACTGAATCTCTTTTACAATTATACACCTCGAGACCTTCAGGTTGTGACAACAGAGGGCAATGTAAACTTTCATTGTTAAGAGTATTAGGAGGTGAAAGATACAAATGTATCCGAAGGGGTACGTGCACCCCAATATTTACATCAGCAATGTCCACAATAGCCAAACTATGGAAAGAGCTAAGATGTCCATCAACAGATGAATAGATAAAGATGTGGTGTGTGTGTATACACACACACACACACACACACACACACACACACACACAATGGAATATTATGTAGCCATCAAAAATGAAATCTTACCATTTACAACAATGTGGATGGAACTAGAAGGTATTATGCTAAGCAAAATAAGTCAATCAGAGAAAGACATGTATCATATGATCTCACTGATAGGAGGAATTCTTAATCTCAGGAAACAAACTGAGGGTTGCTGG